TTCTTGCATTTAGTATCTGAGACTGAAACGGTTCAATTAACCCGGCACATTACATAAATTATTCACAAGTTTTTTTTTTTCGGTGTGGCAAAAGATCTACTGATACTCTCACGGTTGCTCTCGACGTGGACTTGAAATGCAATATATTATTGACAAATAAAAGAAAGATAATTTCTTGTAGTTCATAAACGAAAGCTACCTTCTTAGAAACTGAGAAAATTGATTCTGGGAGTTAGTTGTACCTCTTCAACTCTGTGAAGAAATTGATTAAATTTTTATTGGATGAGCAAAATGTAACTTTTCCTTATAAGATTTCCTTGAAAGACTGATGGAACATAACAGAGCGCGTTACTATATTTAACGTCCCTTTTTATGTACGACTTTTTTATGAGCAAGTTACAAAAGTTACAAGTTATATATTAGGTGTGCTTAGGTAATAATAATAATCATATATGAAATACCTACCCCTATACGGGTATGTGCCGCTGAACAGGGTTTGGTTTTCAAGGTCTTGAGTCTAAAGAGGGCATACAATTTCACCACTGAGCGTCAAACAGGGTGTGTTTTTGGACTGGAAGCCTTTCAAAGAGTGTGAAGACTTGTGATGAACGGTCTACATTTTTAATACCAATAATTTTTTTCCTAAACATCTATTTCCACGATTTTAGTGTAAAAAATTACTTAATTCTGTATGTAAGACAAAACAAATCAGGGTCAGAAAGACAGGGTAGCGAAATGAGTAGCCTTTGTAACAGGCGCTTGAAAGTAGTGGGCGCACGAAAAAAGGGAGCGCGGGAAGGAGACACGCGTGACTCCCTCGCGCGCGCCCGTTCTCTCTTCCAAGCGAGCGCCTGCTACGCAGGCTAGGAAATGAGCAATTTTTGTCTTAAACAGGGTCGGGGTTTGAAGGCCTTGGCGGCCTCACTCTCCTGACTCTCCACGACAGTGGAACTGGGAAAATTCAGACCGTGGCTCCTTGGAAATATGATAACATTGTTGTTTATTGGTGATTATTTCATGATGTAGTAATGCCCCAGTATCCACTCGCAGCTCTTCACTTTCAATTTGTAACCTCTAGTTTTAAGGTTAGGTCAACTGTTTTCAATGGGCTTATAAATAACGTTTAGATATGACATTTTTGCAACCTTTACGAGAGTAAAGTGGACATAATATATATTGGAATAATGTCTTGTTGTGTTTATAACTAACCTCGGATGGTAGAACCGTTTGATTGGCAAAGAATTGCCCTGAACAGGGTTGATGCTCGATATACCACGTCAATATATGTACTATTGTGTCGTTTTATTGTGTGAAGTTTATTGGGAACAAGTGTTCTTTGCGATGTAACTCGAGACTTGCTGTTCACTTGGTTTATGGTTCACCAGTCCTGAAAAGACCACACTGATGTTGTAAAGAGGACAAAAAGATCTTGTGTTTTTTGTTTTGTTTTGTTTTTGTTTGATGTGGAAAAAATTCTATCTGAGGAAAACGTTTTTTCTAATGAATTATCTGTAAACTCTTAGTAGCGGTGGTATAACATTAAAACACCCCGAGATGATAAATTGCCATGTGATTCATTGAGCTTTATAATTTAGCTTTGTGTTTTCTCTGCAACCCCTGCTGAAACTCACAAACTGACCTGTTCTGCTAAGCAAGTGCGTCTTTGTTTACTAATTCTTTAGCTTGTACCGCTGAGAGGGCAAGCCCCCTCCTAATGACCTTGGGTTCGGTTGGTGGAAAGCCAGACTCGATTAGCGCTTATCGGCTAGTATTAACATGTTGTTCCATTTTTGTCTTTACACACAATAATAGAAATCGCAAATAATATAAGAAAAGTAGAAAACAGAAGAAGTGGCGAGGAGACCTAACAAAAACTATAGGAGCTTATAGGGGGTTAGGCCTCCTCGAACTACGGGCTAGAGCTGATTACATCAATGGAAGAAAATATGGCGAAAAGTCGAAGATTGAAAGATTTATGATCGGTTTTCATATTGACTTGATAATTTAATCTTCAGTATTTTCTTAAAAGAGGAAAGGGATTGAGAGTTAATGACCTCGTTGTCAAGTGAATTCCAAAAGTCAGGTCCTTAAAAAAAGGGTGAGAACTTCTTACGTTTGTTCAACAATACGGTAGCCTTCCTATCCATGCTATGTATATTCCTATGGTCCTATACCTTGCTAGCTATGCATTGCTTAGAGTAACAAGTCAAGATTCAACGTTATTTTGATGGTCCCCAATAGGTTTCTTCAATCCAATAATGCCCACCCAAAATTTCGTGCAATATCTCGCAAATCTCGATGGTTATTTTTGGCATCCCATCTCCTGCAAATACTTTCAATCCCTATTCTCGAAGCGATTTTGCCTCAAAATCCCAAATCCCGAGCTTCAATTTGAATAAGGAAATCTCGGCTCCCGAAAAATCTGTTGGGGAGCCTCCATTTTGTAAGCTGGAATTATATTCTCTTAGACGAGAAAACTGGCTTAATCATACGTTAAACTTAACCACTTTTCGACGAAACGGGCCCCCGAACATGCACATGCGTTAAATAAACCATAGCGTCTATTAGCAATTAAAATCTTGTTTTCCATTTAGCTGTTGTAGTTCTTGCGTTGAATGTTGAAAGCTTTTCTGCGAAATTCTTTAGTTCCAAAAGCAATAAAGGCAACCTTTTCGAGATATTACTACAGTTAACTTTTAATACAAGTTTCAAAATTTATCAGCCTTATTTATGTTCGTCGAACCTTGCTTCTGTTTATGATTCGCAGGCTGAAATAAAAATTGTTGCAAAGTTCTAGTGAAATATAACAAATTCAAAACTGCTAGAAAGAGCGCCTTGAAATTAGGAAAAAAGCTTTCAAAAGTTCTGATTCTTTCTCACTTCAATTCTTATATAAAAGAATAACCAATTGAATAATCTCTTCGTTGTTTAATAGCAAGTTAAAGAAAACCACCTAGTTCAATAAGCATAGGACACATTCTTCCAAAACCAAGGCATACCACCGTTCGAAATTTATGAGATGATAACACAACTTTTTATGTATAAATTTTATTCAGATTTTGAATTCTTGTTGGAAATTTTTTGTTTTCTTATTAACTCAATTTCCCTGCTAATCTGCTCAATTTCCCTGCTATCTGGTGTGATTGTGTGATTTTTCTACATAATTCAGGTCACACCTAAAATTTCGATTCATTTGCTATTCATCTCCACCTTATAACTACGGGCCATTTAAATGAAAAACATAGTTAGGGGATATAATTTTCCTTCTTGTTGTTAGCTTTTTGTTTTTGCCTGCATGTGAATGAAATCCTGACGTGTGACCATTTCAATGAAAGCTACTTTCTGTGGTGCTGTTTATTATAATGGTTATTATGCTGTACAAAGATGGTGGTTTTAACTTCTGAGTCTGTGGATGAAATATTGAAGTGGGACTATTCAAATAAAAGCTACTTTGCTGTACTTTCTTTTGGTTCTGTCCGTTTTAATCGTTTTGTCAAATGAAATTTTCAATTTCGGTCAAGCATAGATCGGGGTGGTATAAGCACCAGTAAGCTCTGAGTACTAGGAACGCTGGTGTTTTATTATCTCACTGCCAGACAATGTAGCCTGCCAACTTGGCAGCATTGTTCATTTGTTCTCAGTAGCTTATATCATATGGCTTAACGCGAAGAGGCCATTTGTCCACGTCCTTTTGCAAGCAAGGTGCAAGGTAAGATTGCTTTCTAATTTTAGCGGTTTCCTACTTGGGGTTTTCCTCTCGGTAATGAACAAACAAACAAACAACGAAACTGATCTTTAGTATTAGTAATAATCATCAATATTTTCCTTGAAATGGACCATATTCGTGCACATTTTGCGACCGGTTTCAATTAATAGTTACATCAGTATTATCTACAAAAGCTATGTGCTAACTTTTTAGAAGCTAGAGAATAGCATAAGAAATGTTGGCCATTTTTAGGCCACTTTCCCTATTGCCCGGCCGTCTGACAAAAACGTGCATGGGTCTTGAAAAATGTTGGCCCGATCTCGAAATCCCGAAAGCGTTTTCAGTAGGTCTCGAAGTCTCGTTTTCGGGTGATTTTTGCGTCTTGGAGTCTTAAATTTTTATTTTTTGCCGAATGGTCTCGAAGTTTCGGATAGTTCAGTTATCGTGTTTTCTTTCCGTTTGGTCTTCAGGATTCGAATTTTTCAGAGTTCATTGGTACAGCTTTTCAATCTGAGCTAATAAATTGAAACGGTAAAATAAGACAAAGGAGTATCCTGATAAGCTTACGCTAGCTTAAGCTTCTATTGGCATATTTTGGTCATTTATTAAGCTTTATTTTTACCATTATCTCGAAATTTTCGGCGCTTAGAAAATCAGGCTCGGATTTTAAAGAATGGAATTGATCAAAACGCTAAAGTCTCGGTCTCGAATTTGAAACACGGCCAGGGGAAAAGTCTTGAAAATACCATTCTATACTCCTAGATGATGTCGATTCTGATTCTGGGCGATGAAATAATCGGTAATTTTTTGCATTGAAAGAAGAAGAAGTTAGGCCGTGTTTTTCAAGATTGCGCAGCGCCAAATCGCTAAAAAATCGCCGATAGTTTTCAAGCGCGATTTTAAATTGGCACCAGAGTCTAGATCATGCAATTAAAAATGTTTTTTCGTCTATCATTCATCTTATGAGAACAGCAGTTCATTTCTGGCATAAGGCAGACAAAATCTCATATTTTGGTCTTACAAAGAAGCCCTGCCACACGTCCCCACCCTGATAGGTTATTTTCCTAAAAGGTTATTTTACAGCTCATCTTCCTGGCCTTTAAACGAAGAGCAATGCACCTCTATCTTTATCTCTCTCTATTTTTCAGGATAGGAGTAGCTAGGACTAGCTATACAACCATTATAAAAGACATTTAGACTACTGCAGCCCAATGTTGCCTAGTAAAGGCGTCTTGTCTTTTCTATATCATGAGCACTTGAAGCCATTTTCCTTTGTTCTATATTTCGCAGAAAAATGACTTTCAAGTTCATCTGCGCTGTTCTTCTATTGTCTGTTGTATTTTTATCTTCTCAAGCCAAGCATCACAAAAATGAAAAGAAGAAGGGACACAAGCATAATGGTAAAAAAAAAAAGCCACTTTGAAATTCGTTTTTTTTTTTTCTGGCTTTTTTTCCTGAGTCTATTGCCAACCTAAAGAGAGAAAATAACGATCTCAAATCTAAAGTTTCAACGTTAACAGAGGAGATTTCAAGGCTAAAAGATTTATTTCAACATCAAAGCAGCAGGTCAGAAGATGATTATGTCGAAGTCTCCCGTCTTATTAAGTTATTTAATACTTTAGGTTAGCCTCTCTTCGTAATCGTTATGTACTTGCCTTGTTTTATGTTAGTTTAAATTCTTTTAACTGTATAGTAGTGTCTTCACTGTTATTTAGTCCATCTATATATAAATCTTGTTTTGTAATATGTCTTCAGCCCCCCCCCCCCCCCCCCCCCCCCCCCCCCCTCCTTTCTGACATTTTCTGTGGGGGGGGAAATAGGGTGTATGTTGTCTTTTCTTTTTTATTTTATTTTCTTTTTTTTTTTTTTTTTTTGTTTTTTTTTTTTTTTTGTGTTGTTGTTTTGTTTTTCCCCCCCCCCCCCCCCCGCCTCGTTTAGTTTATAAGCTATTTGTGGGTGGGAAAGTAATGTAATTAGTTATTTTCCAATTTTCAATAAAATTTGTTGTTGTTGTTGTTGTTGTTGTTGGATCATTTTTATCGAATTTGTGTCAGAATTTTTTTCATTATGATTATGATAATATTTTTTACTTGAAAACTCATTACTGAAATCATACTATACCAAGGCAGTGAAATAAATTTTGTATTTAAAGCCAGCAGCCAGATATAAAGGGCTAATATATATATGGAGACGTTCGTTTTCAGATTTTGTCTGTTATGCTGCTAATGAGCGAATGAAAGAAAACAATGACGTAACGATAGATTCCATGAAAAGAGAGGATAAAATTGTCAAGAGACGTGGTCCCTTAACCCTCCTCTCCGCTCTCCTCGTAATCTAGTACTCAGATCTTCCACGGCCAAGGGAAAGGGAGATCCCACTTTTCCGCTGTAAAACAGGGTGAGATCTGGTTACGAGATTAATCCCCTCGCCCCCCGAACAAGCTTATTACGGGCACTGAAAAGCTCATTCCGCCTTTTTTTTTTACATTGTTTTCAGATGACGACGTGGAAGTTGTCCAAGTACATTTTGATACGCTGACATACCTTAATAACACGATCACGTGTACGGATCATAACCGGAAGACTCAGCTGTGGTGCACTTGTCCATTCACTCTCTGCACAGGAGCCCAGCAATGCTACCAGCTCTGGTTGGGCGAAGATGTTCGCTGTACGTTGGAGCACGACAACATTGATTACGAGTCAAACTTGACAAAAGATGATTGTCGATGCAGATATAGTAAAAAGTAGTTCAACTGTAATTGAAGACGAAGGTCTGTGCTTAAAGAAAATAAGCAATAAAAAAGATTTAGTTGAGGAATTATCTTGTAATAGTTTTGAAAGGGATTATAGTTAGCGTTTTTCGGCTTTTTAAAGTTGCGTTGGAGAATGGTTCGTAGAGTGTCGCATTGCACCATGGAATTGAAAAGGAACGTTTTCGTTTCTTTTATTAGAGATCTTTAGGCTATGTTCGCACATACCAGATAGCTTTTGCGCCGGCATGAGCACCATACCGGCAACTCGAGGTTATTTTGGTGGGAATTCGCATAGCCACCCGCGTCTTTTAAAGCCGAAACAAAGAGTCAATAAAGACAAAAACAGAAAGCGGAAATTGTTTCTGTATCGATCTGTGTTTTCTAAAGTATTAAGCTTAGATTAATTGTCATGTCCACAAATTTGGAATATAGAGCAAGAGCAAGACAGAGAAAAAGAGAAAGTTGTTGGCAGGCAAGCGAAGCTCAACGAGAAAAAGGGGACAGAGATCTAGAGCGAGAGATAACCAAAAAAAAAAAAACAAAGAAGGCATTTTTTTGTTAGAAGAACAACATGAAAATTTTGTAGCGGCGGTGACAAAATGATAAACGCTAGCGGCCACCAATGCAAGGTGAAAATGAGCGGCAGTGAAAAAAAAGTGAACGTGAACACGTACGACATTTCCTCAAAAAAACGTGTAACTAAAGGTCCCTCCACTTGAGCTCGGTTACCGGGATGAATTTCGCCTTGGGTTCATACTATGAGAAATTTCAGCCCTGTTTCCGAGATGAGAAAAGGCGAAAGATCCTGCGGACGAGTTCAGACGCCAAATTCGAGAAACACAGCAGACATTGCGAAATACAAAAATTTTAATTCGCGCCTATCATAGCTTCGGCAACTCTTAAAGGTTCATTACTGCAGTTAAATGGGATGCTTATGATGCGGTAAATACCGCAGGCAATGTAAGACGATGCCATCCGGACCGCCAGAATTCACCCCACTTTCATGGTAACCGGGATGGAGTGTTCATATGGCAAAATTTCCAGCCCGCTTACCGAGATCCCGGTTGGAGAAACCGAGATCTCGGGAACCGAGCCAGCCCATCTTCGCATATGAACACATCGAAGATTTTACAAAAGATTTAGAGGTAAGGCGATTTCTCGGAAACCGGGCCAGCTTAGTCAACCGGGCTAAGAAGTTTCTGGAAGTTTCACGTTGTAGTCGTGCAAAACAACGGCAAAGAAATGTACAAAAAAAGTGTGCTGCACGTGCAAAGTTGCTTTTTTGCTAATTAGGTGAAGAGGTTAACTCCTGTGGCCTACCTGGGGCGCAAAGAGAAGCTGAGTTAGTTGGATCTCTCCTCAATTCTGCTCCCCTCATACAGCGCATGGCTACCAAGTCCGCCGTTATGAAACGTCTTTCTAAAGTAAGCATAGTTCACATTGCTGCACATGGGGATACGGTGAAAGGCGAGATTGTTCTCGCGCCAGATCCAGACCCCGCTCGAAATAACCGCCTACCCACCGAGGAAGAGTACATGTTGACATGCGCAGATATCGCCTCGCTGAGCCTGCGAGCTCGTCTGGTAGTTCTCAGCTGCTGTCAAACTGCACAAGGAGACATACGGGCCGAAGGGGTTGTGGGTATTGCTCGCTCGTTCTTGGGGGCTGGTGCGAGAGCAGTGGTTGTGTCTTTGTGGGCTATTGATGACGAGGCCACTTTATCTTTCATGGAACTGTTTTATAATCACCTGGCCAAACAAGGACTCTCCGTGTGTCAAGCGTTACAGCGAAGCATGTTAACTCTACAAGGGAGAGAAGAGTTTAAAAGGATTTCTGACTGGGCGCCATTTTATGTTATTGGAGAAGACGTGAAGTTCAGTAGTGAAGAAATGGAGCAATGGAGGAATAAAGCCGCCCCAGGCAACAAAATCTAACCTGTGTACACAGTGAATATAACCGATGGCCGGCTCTTCAACGCTTTAAGCCCCAATATTCAAATACAAATTCTCATGACTGATGTCCATATAGTCCATGTTGCCTTAATGAATCAGTTAGGAGAATTGGTTTGAAGATCAAAGCGTTTTCTATGAAGTGATTACTTTTTATACAATGATGTGAATGCTACGCACGCTGTGATTGGTCGTTGCCCATGATCTATTAGAGTACAAATACATGGATGACGTCACGGGAAACTTGTTTTCTTTGTTTTGTTCAACATGGCACGCAGTTTTGAAAATGTTTGTGAGATTATTTCGGATTGAGGCAAGTGAAAGCTTCGGAAAAAGTTTGGCAAGAGCTATTTACAAAGAAGAAAAATGGAGAAACGGAGACCAAAAAAGCTATTGACTACTTGACAATGCCTAAACTACAAGAAATCTTCACAACAGTTGCCATCGTGTGTCTTCGCTATGAGAGACTCGCTGTTTTGCAAAATGTTTTCGCTATTATTCTTCTTTGAGCAAGAAAAGACGCACGAACAGACGCACGGCAACATGGAATCTATTTGTTAAATATATTCTCACAACATTTTGTCTTGATTATGTATTGATATTGTTAGGAGAGGATTGATTTTCGTCACTCTTGGAATTTAAAGGGTTAAAGAAATTACCGTAACATTTCGAAAATAAGTCCCGGGGCTTACATTTTTCAAAGGCCCTTGTTGAGGGGCTTTTTTTTGGAGGGGCTTATCTACGGAGGGAAATTTGCGTTTCAAAATCGATTGGGCTAGCCTTATAGTTGGAAGTAAATTTACCGTTTTTGCTTTGTTTTACTTTGTATTTGCCTTGAGGGCGATTTTCCAGGTAGAAGTTCCCGGGGAGCCTATATTTGCAGGGGCGATTTAATTTCTATGGGTTTTTTGTGTTACGATTTTTCGAGGCTTATATTTGGAGGGGCTTCTACATGAAGGGGCTTATTTTCGGAATTTTACGGTACATCCAGAAAAAAAAGATCAGTACTTACGGCCCGGACCATGTCGTTGTGTCGACTAGAAGCTTTTGCTCCTGCTCCAGCTATGACCCATATGCTTGTTCATCTATCGGCTGCTCGAGTGAGAAAGTCGTATTTGTTCGAAAAAGCGTCTGGAATAAGTACAGCACTTAGGAACAGAACCAATATCAGTGAAGAGAGAGTACAATCTGACCGTTCCGTTGCGAACTGAAAAAAAAACCATATATTTATCTGAGACTGAAACAGTCTGTCAACCGACCCATGACATAAGTTATTGATAACGTTTGTTTTTTGGTGTAGTAAAATATGTACTGATATAGACCCTTGTCACGCGGCGGTCATTTTGTCTCAAGAGATTTAAAAAGCTAGATCAACAGATCCAGTTTCTGAGAAACTGAGACAATTGATTCTGGGAGTTAGCTGACTCTATTTAACTCAACGAAAAAGTTGATTAAATTTTTATTGGGTGAACGAAATTTAACTTTTCCTTCAAAAATTTCGTTCAAATGCCAATGGTAGAATACAGCCTGTAAATTGTATAACCTCTCTTTTTATACGAATTTTCATGTGTGCAAGTAATTAATTTATAGATAACATTTTTCTGATATTTACGAGAGTGCGTCGACGCCGAATGGAAGAATGTCTTGACCTTGGTATGTTTTGGTTTAGTATATATAACCAGTACCGATGGTTGAACAATTTAATTGACAAAGAATTGCTCTGAAAAGGCTATGCTGATCTTTCAAAGAGTGAAAAAAGATCATCTTCTTTTTTTGTTGAGTAGAAAAAAAATTCCATCTGAGAAAAAGTTTTTCGGATGAATTATCTGTAAACTAGTGCATAATATTCATAAAACACCTCCAACAGACAAATTACTATATAATTCATTTTAAGCATTTTCAGCTGAAAGAGGAAGCTCTTAATGACCCTTCGGTATAGATCTCGGCCTCTCAATATGTTCAGGCTTAAAATAAACCATAATGTTTAATTCCGTGGGATGCCTGTGGCACTCCCACGGTAAAAATCCGGTTCGGTTGTACCCAAAATTGCAAAGCCAGCCAATAGGATTGCCTAAAATCTTTATCGATTATCT